GGGCGAAAGCACTTTCTTTGCCCCCTTTATGACCAGGGGAGAAAGGAGCAGGGCTGTATTGAAATCTGTGTGGTAGGAGCTCCATTCATGTGAAGAGACTCCATTCAGGGCCTTACAAAGGGTATGAGTCAACTGCAAAGAAAGGAGGCATTTCACAGAAACTGAAGTGTGACCCTTTGTTTTTCCTGACCCCAAGGTCCTCAGTGACACAAAAGGGGACTCCAGCACTGATTCTGCAGCAACAAATGCCTGTTGTGAGTGAGTGTATTTGAGAAGCAGTGACAATAAGGAATGACCCGAGGTGCTTGTTTCCAGTCCTTGTTTCCCAAGGGACTGCCAAGGGGAGAGTCTTGCCTGCAGCCCCACAGAGGTGGAGGAGATGAGGGGGCAGGGAAGCTCTTCCTAGTTGAAGCATTTCTCTAGAAAACCTCTCCTGAAATACATGATCTGACCATCCACGTTTACTATTGGGACAACTGGATAGTGGGTTTTTTGGATTAAGTTCTGAAAAATCCATAGAAGTAAATTCAGCTTTTATTTAGGCATTACGCGAAGTAGGATTTTTCTAATTTAGGACTGGCAAGGGATTAGGAGGGTTTAGTAGCCTTGTCTTTATTTCAGCCTTCCATTAGCTTGTGACTACTTTCTTTCATAATCGAAGTAGACATGAAAGGGATGTTTTGCTTTGGCCTTTTCATTATCCTGAAGTGCTCTAGGTCCCTATTAAAGTTCATGATGGAATTAGGGTGCAGAATGATGGATTTAAAGGTATCATAGAACTCTTCCTGATAAAGAGTAGTTCCCAAATATATTCCAGTTGTGACCTAAGAGAGGCTGCTGGAGGCATCCCAAGCAGCCATGCCTTGGCTCTGCAGATCAATTGAGCTGAGGAAATGCATTTGCATATGGATGTTATGCTAAGGAGGCAGGCCAGCCCAGATTTCATTACTGCTAATGACGTGTGTGGGAGAAGTGATTTAGTTTATAGCCAGTGCCAGGCATGCCACAACGAGGAAGTACTTAATTCATACAAAGGTCTTTCTTGCCTCTGAGACCTAAGAGTCAGGGGGTTTCAAGCAGCTCTGGGAGGCCCAGTGTTACGTGACATGTTCTCGTTAGCATTGGGGGAAGAACAGAGCCATCACTGAAGAGATGGAAAAGGGGAGAAGGAATCTTCAAGATTTAGTATTGATGTCGTGGAGGAAAGGATAGGAGGAGAAATTAAAGGGAATGAAAAAGAGAACAGAAGAAGAAGCAACTGAGGATGGAAAACCAGCAGGCAGAGCTGGCTCTGCAGGAATCGTGGCTGCCAAGGCTGGACTGTAGGACTTTGGAGGTGCCAGAATTTTTGTTCTAAGTCCTTGCTTTAGTCTGCCCTACTCAAAATGCAGGCAAGTGCATTGGGCCTGGGGCAAGGTGTCTAACTTCAGAGACAAGAGAAGTTTCTGAGAACTGGAAAGGAGAAAAGGGACGCCAGGATAATGCTGAGGTTGGAGTAACTGGTAGTTGCTGCACTGTCTTGAATCATCTCATGGCCCCTGCTTTGCCTGCTGCAGTAGGCACTGCCTCAGGCAAAGGGGAGCAGAGAGGGGCCTAGGGGCACATTCTGGGCATGTACTTCGAGGGATAAAGGAATTACTATGCTCAGGCAACTTCAGGAAGACCTGTTTGAACTGGGATGAGTATCTTGGGTGGCCTCTCAGCTCAGAATAATGAGTCAGTCAAGCAGAAGAAAGCAGCCAGAGAGAAGGAAAGGGTGAATGAGAAGGAGAAGTAAGTCAGAGGGATTAATGAGGGAGATAAGACAGCCAGCGAGAGGTAGCATGCCTAACAGCAGGCTGAAAGAGCAGCTCAGAGCATGCACCGCACCCAGAGCGTGCGTTGGGCCAAAATTTAAAAGGCTGAGAGGGCCTTGAAGAGGGGCCCTGTTTTGGGGTTTATGGGGCTGGACACCTCTGGTGTTTCATACTTGCACGGTATCATTGCACAGGGTAGCAGGGAAGAAGGGCTGTGAGCTGCTGCCCATTGTCTGGGCATGGGATATGACTGTGTATCCATCTGCAGCTCTCAATATGAAAGACTGAAGAAAGGTCTTTCAAGAGGAATTATTCCTGCCTTATTCATGGCACAGCAGCTGGTTTTAATGCATTTTAACTGTTTGGCTGCAATCACCCACAATGCATGTAATCAGAAGAGTTATGAGCTGCTAAAACTCACTCCTGGAGCAGTCTGGAAATGCTGTCTCCGGAAATATAGGATGGTTCTGCATACCTTAATTTAAGCTATATCATTCTGTGATTTTCTGGAGAGGGAAATCAGCTGGATGGGGAATGTGAAGGCCACTTCAGTAATTCGTGAATGGGTAAACACAGTTCGGAGAGTTCCCTGATTTCTGCTTCAACTGAGTTGAACTCCAATGATATGGGACAGCAACATTTAGCTGGAGTTACTGGAAATCAAATATTGTTTACTTGATATTGCAATCAAATTCAGAAAAGCTGTAAGATACCTTTAAAGAACAAACACCTGTTTTAGCATTTGTGTGTCTCTGAGAACATACTGAGATTTGCTGAAGTGATGGCCTTTATAAGCTGCTTTAGGACAACTGTGTGCTATTGAATGTTTTACTATGTGCGAGCCATTTGAATGATCTCCATACCCAGTTGTAGGAGGGCAGCACACGTGGACTTAACCATCTAGAAGAAATTAGATGATTTGTCATAAAAGAGGAAGCAGGACTCAGCTGAATTTGCAGAGGATCTGAAGAGCAAAGGTGAGACAGAATAACACGCAATATTTTCTAGATGTCAGAAAAAGAAAAGCAGAAAGAGACTAAGCCAATACATTACTGTTCAGTGGGGCTCTGCTGGCAGACAATTCTGTTGAGGATGGCTCATTTCTCCTCAGTGACAACAGCAGGTTTCAAATAACGCTTCATATTTCCCAGGTTTAGCAGATGAAGAAAAAAATTACTTGGGAGGCAAATAGAGCAGATTTGCAAATAGAGGAGAATGTTTTATGGTCAGACTTGCAAACATTTGGCTCCTGCAGATGCCAGAAGACTCTGCATCTGCTTTAATCACCGTGCGTTGATCCTTTCTGATTATTTCTTCTAGATCCCTGTGGCTCTTAAGGCAGTAGTTTTATATTATCTAGGGCAAAGTGACTGTTCAGCTTCACACAGAGGGCAACTTACCTGCAAATTCAAACTGCACAGCGTTTGATTGGTAGGAAAGGCACGTGAGAGCTGATCAACTGAGTAGACATTTATTAAGAATTCTGTGATACCCCCTCCAAGGTATCTCAGCTGTCTTTCAGTTACAGCTTCATTAGAGATACCATAGGCTCTTCTGTTTATAATGTCTTCTTCATATTTTGGAAAGAAAAAAAAAAAAGATGATAGTAGGAATTAAAGGCTTCTTTTTCAAGCAGGTTTAAAATATACCTAGGAAACTACTGCATTATGCTCAGGTGAGTGTAAACAAAGGCTGCGGAGTGGCAGATGCTTAAAGTGATTCATAAGAAATCTGAAATTGCCTATTAATTGCTGTCTCAGGGGATACAGGTCTTTTATGGCAGGGATCTCTTCAGCAGATGGGATAAGAGAAGTAATGCAGTTACTGTACTGGGCAACATGCAGTCATTCTTTTTAATCCTTTTACCCCTTTGTTGTATTTTTACTGCAGGAAGGTTCCCTTAAGACATGGAGGTGCTTCGTGGCAAGTTACACGGTGGAAGCAACTTCCCAGGGAAGCACATATAACAGTTGTCCTGAGAAGGTAATCTGGCTCAGAGAAGTCTGGTTTTTGTTTTATTTTTGAACTGTTATTGTTCTTTCCTGCCTGTATTTAGCATCTGTTGGCCTCAAAATGTTTTGTGTCCAGGCCTGTAAACAATTGGCTTTTGCAGACACCAGAAGACTCTGTTTGCTTTGCTCAAAAGAGACATTATTTCTTTTGAGGTCCCTGAGGTGCTTGGGGGGGGGTGTAGTTATATACCACCTACCACAAAGTCAACGTTCAGCTTCTCTTCACACAGAGGACAACTCACCAGTAGATTCAGGCTGTATGTCTGTTCAGTTATTAGCAAATAGCTGAAAGAAAAACAAAACAGCCTGGAAATGCTGAGCAGCGCAGTGGTTGGCGTAGACGCCCTATGGTGTCACCTTGCCTGCTTTAGTTTTCAGGGCAGTTGGATTGGGTTGGAGTGTAATGGGACTGGGTCTCCCTGTATGTTTACACTGTCCCTATTGTAATGTATCTTCTTTAAGATAAGATCTTCTTTAAAGGTCAAGAGAGAGAGGGGAGAGGGCAGGCAAGCACTGTATATAGCATCTGTAACATATAATTATACGAGGCAGGGATTTTCCGATATGCCTTGCAACACAAAGAACATTTAGATATCAGCATCACAGTATATATTTTCTAAATCACAACACCCACACATTTCCTTAGCCAAGTAGAAGTTTTCCTTCTATGGCTGCATATCTAAAATTAGCCTGAAGGTCAAATCTGAATGGAAATACCCTTGCCATTGAACGTGCTGGGGAATGATTGGTGCAATGGGCTTAATTTTCCCATCGAAAACCTTCATTTATTTTTTTAAATAACAAACAGTTGCTTTTACAATTAAAGAGCTTGGAGAAAGGCAAAATGAGGCCTGCTGTATAAAATCATCATCAATATTCTGCTTTCACTGCAAGGCTATTTTTATAGCCAACTATTTTAAATGTAACAAGATGGATATAGTGAAGCCATAGTATAAAAGATGCAGCAAGAGGCTTCTGAATAGCTGAGCAGAGCACCGGCATGTCAAAGAAAGGCCTTAAAATTTGGAACATGTTTGTATATGAAAGACATACACAAAGAAGAATTCTAAGTTATGAAATGCATTGTTGAGAAGAAATGAATAGTTTAGGTCTAAAAATAACCCGCAGTTATATTATGTGAGGACTGTGCAGCCTACACTGCACAAACGCAAAAGCACCGTCTTGCAAGAAGTGCATTTATCAGCCACAGTGTTTTATTGAGTGCTTTAATAATACAAGTGTACATCAACTGATCCACAGTCAAAAGTGGCAGGTCCCTAAGAAATTTACAAGCACTTTTTTTTTAAGTAAATCAAAATACATATTAATTTGTTCAACGCAATAGCCTTTTGTGTGGGAAACAGAAGGCTAGTGATAAACACAGTCTTAGTAATGCACAGTGATTCTTGATTTTAAGCTTTTATACAAAACTTGTTCCCAGTAGCATGCACCCACCATTAAAGACTTCAGTACAAAAAAATAACCCTAAACACTACATTTAAGTAGAAACGAGATATAATTCTGAATTTGTTTGTTTTCCCAAAAACCACATAAAAGAAAAAAAAATCCCACACATTAATACAAAGCTTTGTGACAAAGCTCTATACTATTACAGATCCAACATTCTTTGCACTGATAACCAAAATTCCCTGTCTACATTTGAGGGAAACAACTTTCAAGTTAACAGAACAAAAAACCCCAAAACAAATAAAAATAAAAATAAAACCAAAAAGAAAGTAAGGACAACCTTTTGTCACAAAATGGTTTAAAATTTAATAAAAAATAAGAATGAAGGGAAGGGCTATTGATGCACTTAGTGAATGTGCTTGCACAGGTCCAGCAAATCCTAGAGTAGGTTCCTATGTGGCATACCGCTTGGTCCACTGTCTGGCCATTCTGTCGTGCTCTGCTCTGTTAGTCATATACTGAGTGGCAATACTTCCAACCAGGGGGTCAGCTGAAAAGGAAACACAAACTGTGAAATACTCATCAGCCTCGGTGGGATCAAAAAGCTATTCTTAGATCCACATCCATACACTGCTCTTAGGTTTAACTGTAAGAACAAGGTGCCTACATATACTAGTCCCATTTTGGAAGCACGCGTGCATACAGGAAGAAAGGAGGAAGATGGGGAGGAGCTGGCTAGCATTGACTATACATTTCTGGTGAACATATAACTAAACCCACTTTCTAAAATTCTGCCTCACAAACAGATGTTCCAACGATGTAATTTTGAGCTAAAAGCTGCTTTCAGATGATATGAATAAACACACACTGCCATTTATTTATGGTATTAAGACTCCCAGAAATATCTGTACTATCACCTAAGAAGAGGATGGGCTCTAATTCTACTATCAGCTTCAATGTTGGGGTTTTCTTAAGTACTTTTAGTTACAATGCATAAAAAAAGATAAGGAATGAGGACAGTAAGTACTATTTTCAAAGCAACAAAAGTTAATTCCAAACTTTGGGAACTGGTGTTTAATTTACGGGATCTTTCTGAACATTGATGTGGCCAGAACGCTGCATGATATGGTCTGGATCTACAAATTACTTTACAAATAACTAATCAAAACCAATCAGTCCTCTAAGAAAAACAAACCAAGACAAGACTTTCCCAGAATTGACTGTATGTAATCAATATTTTTCTCTTTCAGACAACATTGTTCTCTTCTCAGTTTAAAGCAGACAAAACATATAGATATTTTCCCTTTTTTGGGGGAACTCGTATTCTTGATATTTCTACTGCAACAGTAAATTTCCTGAGATTGTACCATGCAAGTTCAGAAGCACTGGTATCATGTTTTTTCCTGACTGAGGACAGATGAACATGACTTCTTCTGAAAGCCAGTTAATAACCAGCTTTGTAGTTGACTGAAGATGGTGCCACTGAACAATATGAATCTTGGCTTCCCCAGTACAGTCGTAATCTGAATGTGGTGTTTGCATTATTAACCACTGAAATTCCTGAGACTAGATGCCAGGCTTTTTGCAAAGCAGAGTAAATCTAGGCTTTTTTGTTTGTTTGTTGACAATGAGAGTTTATGATAGGAGGAATATGTTGGTTTAGCCAAAAATCAACTGATTGGCTTACTGCCAACATTACTGAATATTAGTGAATAATATCTAATGAAAAAATCTTTTGCTTTGAATGTATACCCTTTGCTTTCAGGAAGAGCCCGTGATTTGAATCTTAATCTAAATTAGTAAGGCAAGTTATCGCTGTGACTGCAGTGCACTAAGTCCCCTTAGTCTCAGTCCTGCAACCACTGCATATGCTTACCTTCAATATCTTAATATATCCAGAGGAGGTCACCAAGGCCTGGACTTTGCTATTTTTACATGTGTGAGTGTCAAAGAAGTGTATATGACCTAAGATACATTTAAAAAGTTTTAGACTAGAAAGTATATCACCTTTAACTCAGCCACGGAGAAGAACTACATAGGGGATTACCAGAAGGATTTTGTTCTGTGCAAATAGTCTACTGGTAATTAAGGACTGCAAAGCTGTTCATGGGTGGAATGAGGTTTGAGAAGCACTGCAGGGTAAATGGGGAACGGAAATGGGAAAGGGCAGAATTTCTCTTGGCAAAAAATTTAGGGAGTAGCCACAGGGAAACCTTGTCATAGCATAACGTAGCTCAGGGATGAGCCTGACAGATGCAAATTCCCACAACCTCCTTGGACACAACATCACTGTGTGAAGAAACACTTTCAGAGACCCATGGAGAAACAGAGACTAAGGGTAGGACTTGAAAGGAATCCTTGGAGCAACATTTGAGAAATGTACTGGTTTTCATGCTGTTGGGGAAGGTGGGTTTTGGCCTCAGGCATCTGGCTGTGATGGGTTGCAAGAATATCATGGCATGATCATCTGGAACGCAGCAAGTGCTTAATGAGGTTTAGAGTGTATTTAAAGTGCTGCCACTAAGCCCTTTATAAAACCTTATGTGCGTCAGTGAAAAGTGATGTGCTGTAGTAAAGGTTTACCCAGTTCAAATCTGTAAGTCTTTTATGCGCGGGATGAATGTTTCTGTGAAAGCGTGCCTTTCACATTGAGAGCTGTAAATCAATTTCCTTGATACACTGAAAGGGTACTGAGGATCATATCATCATCCTGGATGACAGATTACAATGTTTGGTTTCCTAGTGTGGGTTTCCATCTGTATCTCCTTTTAGAAGCAAGGAAGTATTTCAACAACATACATCTTTGGAAGAATTTGGAAGTTACAGGCTCTGCCTTCCACCTTATTCCAGCATGAGAGGGTGTCTACTTTCTTTTGCGGGGAGAATCAGTAAGAGGAGCTCTTTGTAAGAACATGTGGAAATCTGTGGAAGACCAGTAATGTAGGGAACTGGGCTTTTTATTTATCCATATGTTCAAGCCTTTGTCTTGGCAGTGTTTTGTTTGGCAGTTGGGGGAAGAGTGGAGGTGATGGCCTGCAACATGTCTGAGGTCTACACAGCTGTTGCTGTAGGTGTGTAAATTCCCACCAAGTGAGCGATCTGTGAATCAACTATCATCTTGGGGTGTTTACCTCAAGTCAGTGCCTTCTCCATTGGTGTCTGCCTGTGCGAATCAGGACTGCTGAAGCAAAGAAAGGTCCTGGCCTGCCATAGCATGAACAGGACCAGCTGCACCCACAGCCAGCTGCTGAGCTGACACTACTAAAAGGTGTTCTTGGTAATAACAGCAATAACACTATTCTTTGCAATTTGGCTATACATCTTATTGGTTATAACAATAACAGAACAAACCCACAGTTTGGCAAAGCCACCTGCATGCTTGAGACTTCAAACTGAAGAAACAGAAAAACAGTTATTGCCGGAGAGGCCCAGCTATTTCACATCCCTGTCAGAGTGTCCGGAGGTGTGCTATCATTGCATGTCATTACTTATGAGGACTTTAATAAGAACTCTTCAACACGTGTTTGAAGAACTGGCTTATTTTAGCAGTTCCTACCATCAGGAGGCACATTGCTTTGTTTGGGAAGTCAGGGCAGCTGGTGAGAAGGGAAATTTTAACTTCAGATCAGAGCCATCCAACCAGTGGCACACTGGCCAATTCAGTGCAGCACACTGCACTTGTGCTGGAGGACATAAGGATGGAACTCCAGAAATGCCAGTGATCTCTCTCTGCACTTGTATGGGCACCTTCAAGTCCAAGCCATACTGTTCTTGGTGGAGCAGGGAGCCTGCTGGCAGGCTCAAGCAGACAGATCTCTCACACTTGAGATCTCTCAACACTCAGCTCATGAGTCACCACTGCTACGCAGTTCACAGTGATGGGCCATAAAACAGAGATTACAAGATAAATTGAGGTACCTTAACTAAAACAATTAAAAGATTTAATTCCCAACATGCATGAGCCTTGGTTATAGTTTCCAAGTGCCCCAAAATACCAAATACGAGGAAGAATTAATAGTTCCCATTTACCCCCTAAACTAAGTAGCACATGGCTGAGCACCACCTGGTTCTCAGACGGGCTGCACTATTTAAGGAGTATTGTGAAATCTCTAATAGTAGGGCCAAATATGCATTTATAAAACAACTGCTGTGTAAACTGTCTAATTGAGAGATAAAAAGGAATACTGGATCTCAAAATTCATAAAGGTACTTTTCCCATGTTTCCATTTCTCATTACCATAAAACTGTTTCTTATTTTCCATTTGTATGTATCTGTGGTTTTATTCTTGACGTTAGAAATTTGTTTTTGTAACTAGTAAACCACTCTAGCTTTTTGTTTTATTTTTGTTTTAGAATTAGCGTGATTCATCAGCGAATCAGGGTTCATTTCAGAAATTCACTCCAAATGGGACTGTGTCCAAACAACAATGAAAACCAAGGGATCAGAATATCAAGCTATGCCAGAAATGTGTTATCAGAACAACCTAGTGAAAGAAATGTAAATAAACCCACAATGAATTAATAACAGGAACAGCAAAACTGCAACTCCTGGTCTGGCAGGAGGAACGTACTTTGGGACCTCTCAGATCCCCAGATGCATGGTGCACAGCTTGAGGGTCAGAGGTACCCCATCCCTCAGGGCACCAGCAGCTGGAGAAGCTGGGACAAGGCAGAGCGATCGTGTCCGGCACTCGGCAGCACCGAAACCCAGGAGCAGCATTGTGGGTGGCGCCCGCTGCGATAGCCATGCACGGGGAGCGAGCCGTGTCATGGTGCACGCCATCAGCTCACCAGAGAAGCCGCTGCAACCCTGTGGACCTGGGAATCTTTAAGGTCTCATAATTTACTGTTCTTTCTAGTCCCTGACTCTTACTTCTAGAAATCCACCCTAGGATGCCTCTGTAACATTTAGCTTGTTTAAAGAAAAATTTTTATCCAATACTCTGGTTAGTTCCGTGTAAAATTGGAACACACCAGGAGTTACAGCATCAAATTTCATGTTAAAGGACAACGCAAGATTAATAGAAATACACAAAAAAAGCACCAAATTAAACAAGCACGAACAGAAGCTAAGGTTCAGCAATGTAGCTTACATGGAAAATGTCAGCTAAGATAACTAAAGTATGAAGAAAAGCCTCTCGATGATTTATAGGAAGACTGCAGCTGCTAAATCCCCCCTCACCTCACCATATGTAATCCTCATGTTATATCAGAATTCACAAAATTACCCTGTATTTAAATGTAGTTTTGAAAGCTGGGCAAGCTGGAGCTTGTCCCTAGCTTAAAAAGGTTGGATGCACTGCTCTACAATGCCTTGTCATCTTTTGCAGCCACTCAATATGACTGTATAAGGATGAACATTTGTGTCTCATGTCTGTTGTAAGGCTAATCAAATTTACAGCCCAATTCTAGGGAGTTAATGCTATTGGGGATTTGGATGAGCTGAGGTTTGGTCATTACAAAATTTCAGCTGTGTTTAATGCTAGTTATACTGTTTTATCATTCAGAAGACAGACTATAATTCTTCTTTAAAACTACTTTTCCCCCAAA